ACCTAACCAATGCACTTCCTGTGTATGCTGTATCCGCTAAAGAGCAAGACAGGACCTCAGCGGCATAGTACTCAACTGCAGAATTTCCTCTTGACCATTCGAAATGTATTACAGCGCTCTGACACAAGGTCTTTATTTATTCTGGTATCTGTAATGTGTATACAAGGTACCTGAGGGTCCTGTTAAAAATACAGGTTTGGCTGGGCGCGGTGGTTCACACCTGTAATTCCAGCACTTTGGGAGGCTGAGGCGGGTGGATCACCCGAGGTCAGGAGTTTGAGACCAGCCTGACCAATATGATGAAACCCCATCTCTACTAAAAATACAAAAATTAGCCAGGCGTGGTGGCATGCGCCTATAATCCTAGCTACTCAGGAGGCTGAGACAGGAGAATCACTTGAACACGGGAGGTGGAGGTTGCAGTGAGCCGAGATTGCTCCCATTACACTCCAGCCTGGGCAACAAGAGCAAAACTCCATCTCAAGAAAAAAAAAATACAGTTTCTAGGGGAGGAGGAGGAAGAAAAAAAATTAACGTTCTGATTTAGCAGTTCTGGGTGGGGCCTGAGATTCTGAATTTCTAACAGTACCCCAGGGGATGTGTTAAATCATAAGGTATTCTCTCTTTGGTTCTTTTAGAAAGTTCTTTGAAACACACATGATTAACTGCATTTTCACTCAACAGCATTTGTTTGCCAGATGCTATGTAGATGAGGGCCTAGTTTGCAAATATCTCATAGTTGAATGGTGAGCTGAATCAAGTGCAATTTGGGTTTATGGCCTTTCTTTCTTTCTTTTTTAAATTTTTACTTTGATTTATTTCACAGAAATTCTTTGGTAACTACAGAAGTTAGTTAACAATTAATTTAGAATTTTTCTTTGTGATTTAAAGAATTATTTTACTAACTGCACAGATATTATTATAATTGTGTTAATGTCAAATGGAGAGAAAAGGGCTGGATGAGGTGACTCACGCCTTATCCCAGCACTTTGGGAGGCTGAGGTGGGTGGATCACCGGAGATCAGGAGTTCGAGACCAGCTTGGCCAACATGGCAAAACCCTGTCTCTACTAAAAATACAAAAATTGGCCAGGTGTGGTGGCATGTGCCTGTAATCTCAGCTACTCAGGAGACTGAGGCAGAAGAATGTCTTGAACCCAGAAGGCAGAGGTTGCAGTGAGCCAAGATTGCACCACTGCACTCCAGCCTGGGCCACAAGAGTGAAAGTCCATCTCAAAAAAAAAAAAAAAAAAAAAGAAGAAAATTGTTTCTATGATCTGCCCACCCAGTAAATGATACTGCTCTTTTTCTGTTTTAGTCCTTGGGCATGGGCATTTTTTGTTTTTACGTGGTTGTGAACATTGCTGGGAAACAATATTGTATTCTGCTTTTTAAATTTAGAGAGAATTTAGAGAATAAATAGAAAGTTTTAAATTTCTCCATCAACTGTTGAAATATTGTTCTTTATTCATAATTTGATATGTTCTTTCTTGGTGGAGCTTTCTTATACTTTAAACTTTCCTGGTAAGAGAAAGTTAACAAAAGGGTTAGGGTTATGGTAGTAAACAATATGTCATATAAAACTAAGATAATAATATCTGGAAAGCAAAGTATGTTTTTTTTTAACTTATTGGAGTGACTTATAGTTAGAATTTTCTCATTAAGTGAGAGAAAACGAATTGTATGTTACCTGAATTGTTTTTGAAAAGAGGGCCTTGCTCTGTTGCCCAGGTCTGGTTGCAGTGGTGATCCTCCCACCTTGGCCTCCCAAAGTGCTGGGATTACAGGCTTGAGCCACCATGCCTGGCCTGTTATCTGAGGTCTTTAAAGTAAAAATCCAGGTGCAGTGGATCGCTCCTGTAATCTCAGCATTTTGGGAGACCAAGGTGGTAGGATTGCTTGAAGCGAGGAGTTCAAGACCAGCTTGGGCAACATAACAAGCTCTCATCTCTACAAAACGTAAAAAGTAAAATTAGCCAAGTGTGGTGGCCTGCGCCTATAAGATCAGCTGCTCAGAAGACTGAGGCAGGAGGATCACCTGAGCCCAGGAGTTCAAGGCTGCAGTGAGCCAGGATCATGCCACTGCACTCCGGCCTGTGAACAGAGTGAGACCCTGTCTCCGAAATAAAAGAAGAAAAAATCTAGTGTCTGTATAGACAACCTGTTTGTTGTCTTCATAATATATTTGACGTGAAGATTTTCCTGTCATATCCCCTAGAATATGGGTTCTTAATCTGAGATCTGTAGATTTAGGGCAGTGTTTCTCAAATTGTGGGCTGCAGAATTACAGGTGTGCTTGGAAAAAATGAGAACTCCATCCATACACTCCTTTAGGCCCTCCTGTCATTTTCCGGCTCAGTAGGTCTGGGATGGAACTCTGCAGTCTGAATTATAACAAGTAGCCTACATGATTCTTCTGCAAATGAGGTTTCATAATTACTGCTTCAGGCAAGCCATGGTTTGGCTCTGAGGGAATTTGTAAACTTCTGAAATTGAATAATTTTTTAGGGTATAGATTATTTATTTTGGGGGGAAGAGGCATTATTTTTTCTTCTCTTTCAATAAATTTGAAAGGAAGAGGCTTTATAAACCTCTCATTTAGATTCACAAAGAGCACTGTCATTCAAAAAGGATTAAGTCATTGTCCCAGCTCTGCCTCCTACAGGCCTCTTTGGTTTTTAAATAATTCTTGGTTTTCTTTTAGCATAATGAGGGCATTTTATCCATGAGGTTTTTGTTTGTTTGTTTGTTTGTATTGTGGCTTTTCATTTTTATTTAGAGACAGGGTCTCACTCTGTCACCCAAGCTAGAGTGCAGTGGTGCAGTCACAGCTTACTGCAGCCTCGACCCCCTGGGCTCAGGTGATCCTCCCACCTCAGCCTCCTAAGTATCTGGGACTACAGACATGTGCCACCATGCCCAGCTAATTTTTGTATCATTTGTAAAGACAGGGTTTCTCCATGTTATCCAAGCTTGTCTCAAACTCCTGGGCTCAAGTGATCCTCCTGCCTTAGCCTCTCAAAGTGCAAGGATCATAGGTGTGAGCCACTGCGCCTGACCATGGCTTGCCTTTTTTTTTTTTTTGGAGATGGAGTCTCACTCTGTTGCCCAGGCTGGAGTGCAACGGTGCGATCTCAGCTCACTACAACCTTCGCCTCCCAGGTTCAACCGATTCTCCTGCCTCAGCGTCCGAAGTAGCTGGGATTACAGGCACGCACCACCAGTGGGCTCAGCTAATTTTTTTGTATTTTTAGTAGAGACGGGGTTTCACCATGTTAGGCTGGTCTTGAACTCCTGACCTCGTGATCCACCTGCCTCGGCCTCCCAAAGTGCTGGGATTACAGGCATGAGCCACCGTGCCCGGCTGACCATGGCTTTTTAATCTACCATTTCTTTGCTGCTTTTCAGTAAAATGAATTTTAATCCCCTCATAATTAAACAGTTTTTAGTATTGAAACATACAATTTTTCAAGAACACCTTTTACAGATAATAATAATTTATAACTTTTTTTATCGAGTATAACAATGTGCTGTTTATTTTACCCACTGTAGTACCTAGTTTATTTTAATTTATCCTCACAGCAACTCCATGAAGTAACTATTATTTATTTCTTTTTTTTGAGATGGAGTCTCACTGTGCTGCCCAGCTGGAGTGCAGTGATGCAGTCTTTGCTCACTGCAACCTCTGGCTCCCAGGTTCAAGCAATTCTCCTGCCTCAGCCTCCCAAGTAGCTGGGATTACAGGCCCGCACTTCCACGTCCAGCTAATTTTTGTATTTTTAGTAGTTACGGGGTTTCACCACATTGGCCAGGCTGGTCTCGAACTCCTGTCCTCAAATGATCTGCCCTCCTTGGCCTCCCAAAGTGCTGGGATTACAGGCGTGAGACACTGCGCCCAGCCAAAATAACTATTATTATGCTCATTTGACAAATAAGGAAATTGAGGCATAGAATACTTAATTAACATAACCAAATTGACATAATTTATCAATGATGAAACCAAGATTTGGCTTATTCTATCTGACTTGAAGGGCAATTCTGTGTACTTCTGCCTGTTTGTGCAAATCAATCACATTTGGTTTGTCAGTGAATGGAAGATGTATATATACAATGGAATACTATTCAACCTTAAAAGAGAAGGAAATTCTGTCATTTGTGACAGCATGGATGAACCTGAAGGACATCATCCTAAGTCAAAGAAGCCAGATACAGAAATAAACATATTACATGATCTTATTTATATGTAGAATCTAAAAAGGTCGAAATCATAGAAGCAGAAAGTAGAATGGTGCTTGCTAGGGATGGAGTTGGGGATGGGGAGATGTTGGTCAAAGGGTACAAAGTTTCAGTTATTTAATGTGCATAAATTCTAGAGATCTCAAGTACAGGATAGGGACAATAGTTAATAATACTGTAGTGTGGCTGGGCACAGTGGCTCATGCCTGTAATCCCAGCACTTTGGGAGGCCGAAGCAGGTGGATCACGAGGTCAGGAGATCAAGACCAGCCTGGCTAACGCGGTGAAACCCCGTCTCTACTAAAAATACAAAAAATTAGCCAGGTGTGGTGGTGGGCGCCTGTAGTCCCAGCTACTCCGGAGGCTGAGGCAGGAGAATGGCATGAATCCGGGAGGTGGAGCTTGCAGTGAGCAGAGATCGTACCACTGCACTCCAGCCTGGGTGACAGAGCGAGACGCCGTCTAAAAAAAAAAAAAATTCATGTATACTTGGAGTGTGTTAGGAGAGATCATAAGTGTTCTCACCACACAGAAAGGTCACCATGTGAAGAGATGGACATGTTAATTAGCTTCACTACAATAACAGTTCACTATGTGTATGTGTATCAAAATATCACACCTTAAATATATATAATTTCAATTAGTCTTTTTTTTAATAAATTGAAAATGATGGTTATATGGTGCTTTTAGATGATTGTGAATTGTACCTATGGATTAGCCTTTTTTAAAGATTCTGATTTTGAGTATTTTGTTATTTCTTTTTAGATCAAAGAAAGTGCATCACAGACAAGAGATGTTCTCAAACAGCATTTTAATGATTTAAAGGGAACCCTTGGAAAGCTCCTGGATGAGCGATTGGTGACCCTTTTGCAAGAGGTGGACACCATTGAACAGGAGACCATTAAACCACTAGATGACTGCCAGAAGCTCATAGAACACGGAGTCAGCACTGCAGAAGACTTAGTCCGAGAAGGTGGGAGACCAGGGATCCTGTTACATTAGTGCATTAGTACATTTTCACACTGCTGATAAAGACATACCCGAGACTGGGCAATTTACCAAAGAAAAGAGGTTTAATGAACTTACAGTTCCATGTGGCTGGGGTTCATGGCAGAAGGAGAAAGTCACGTCTCACATAGCGGCAGACAAAAGAAGAGAATGAGAGCCAAGCGAAAGGGGTTGCCTCTTAAAATACCATTAGATCTCATGAAAGTTACTCACTACTGAGAATAGTATGGGAGAAACTGCCCCCATGGTTCAATTATCTCCCGTCGGGTCCCTCCCGCAACACATGGGAATTATGGGAGTACAATTCAAGATAAGATTTGGGTGGGGACACAGAGCCAAACCGTATCACATACTAAATGTGATTCGTTCAGATTGACATTTTGCAGATTCCTCAGGATAGCAGCAGGCTTCTTGCCAGCTGTGGGGTTCTTAGAATGTTCTTACCTAGAGACACTTTGTGATATAGGATGACAGATATACAGTTAGGCATCCCATGGCAACTGCAGTTGAAGTGTTAGTTATAATTAGTTATAAAACAAGAAAGAATAAATGATATGGGGCACATTGAGATGTTTTGATACGGGCATGCAATGTGTAATAATCACATTGTGGAAAATGGGGCATCCATCCTCTCAAGCATTTATCCTCTGTGTTACAAACAATCAAATTATACTTTTTTTTTTTTTTTTGACACAGGAGTCTTGCTCTGTTGCCCAGGCTAGAGTGCAATGGCGCTATCAGGGCTCACTGCAGTCTTGACCTCCCTGGCTCAGGTGATCCTCCCACCTCAGCCTCCCAAATAGCTGGGATTACAGGCGCGTGCCACCATGCCTGGCTAATTTTTGTATTTTTGGTAGAGACAGGGTTTCACCATGTTGCCCAGTCTGGTCTTGAATTCCCGGTCTCAAGCAGTCTTCCAATCTTGGCCTCCCAAAGTGCTGGGATTACAGGTGAGAGCCACCACAATTATAGTCTCCACTGTTCTGCTTAAAAAGTTAAAAAAAGTGATTGGTGTTTACTCCTATCTTCAGCCAATTGAGTCATGCCCTGCTGCCTTCCTTTCTTCATTCTACTCACCTTCCTTCAACAGAGATCTTTGTCAGGCACATAACATAAACAAGGGGGCCAGATGCAGTGGCTCACGCCTGTAATCCCAGCACTTTCGGAGGCTGAAGCAAGTGGATCACTTGAGGTCAGGAGTTTAAGACCAGCCTGGGCAACAGCCTGTCTCTACAAAAAAAAAAAAAAAAAAAAATTAGCTGGGCATGGTGGTATGCACCTGGAGTCCCAACTACTTAGGAGGCCGAGGTGGGAGGATCGCTTGAGGCCAGGAGATTAACGCTGCAGTGAGCCGTGATTGCACCACTGCACTCCAGCCTGGGTGACAGAGTGAGACCCTGTCCCAAAAAATATAAAATAAGAGTAAGAATAAAAGCCAGGTGCAGTGACTCACGCCTGTAATCCCAGCACTTTGGGAGGTCGAGGTGGGCGGATCATGAGGTCAGGAGATCAAGACCATCCTGGCCAACATGGTGAAACCCCGTCTCTAGTGAAAATACAAAAATTAGCTGGCCATGGCAGCGTGTGCCTGTAGTCCCAGCTACTCGGGAGGCTGAGGCAGGAGAATTGCTTGAACCCAGGAGGGGGAGGTTGCAGTTAGCTGAGATCGTGCCACTGCACTCCAGCCTGGGTGACAGAGTGAGACTCCCTCTCAAAAAAAAGAAAAGAATAAAATAGGTGAGAGTTCTTTCCTTTGGGATTCAGAGCCCAGTGAGAGACAAATACATGCTAAGAGAGATCTAAGACCTTATTGGAGCACAGAGGAGGAAGTTCTTAACTTTGTCTGGAATAGTATAGGATAGCTTTCTGTAGGAGGAGTTCCACAGAGGCTATCAAGCAGACATAGGAAAAAGAGGAGGTAACAGCATGATTCCAAGCAGAAGCAACATCATCATAAATTAAGTGAATGGCATTTTCAAGGATCAGTTGAAGCTTTTTTTGTTTTTGTTTTTTTTTTGAGACAGTCTCGCTCTGTCGCCCAGGCTGGAGTACAATGGCGCGATCTCTGCTCACTGCAAGCTCCACCTCCCAGGTTCATGCCATTCTCCTGCCTCAGCCTCCCGAGTAGCTGGGACTACAGGCGCCCGCCACCTCGCCCGGCTAATTGTTTGTATTTTTAGTAGAGACAGGATTTCACCGTGTTAGCCAGGCTGGTCTTGATCTCCTGACCTCGTGATCCACCCACCTCTGTTGAAGCATTTTAAGCAGCAGAGTGACATGATCAGATGTGCATTAAAAAAAAATGATCCTGCCTATGTTTTGGAGATTGTGTTAGAGATTTTAAGACTAGAGGGAAAAGAGACTGATTAAAAAGTTATTAGAGGCTGAGGCCAGGCTAACACCTATAACCCCAGCACTTTGGGATGTCAAGATGGGAGGATCACTTGAGGTCAGGAGTTTGAGACTAGCCGGGCCAACATGTTAATACCCCGTCTCTACTAAAAATACGAAAATTGGCCAGGCGTGGTGACAGGTACCTGTAATTCCAGTTACTCGGGAATTACAGAGTAATAGGCAGGAGAATCGCTTGAACCTGGGAGACGGAGGTTGCAGTGAGCCAAGATTGCAACATTATACTCCCATAGTGCTGGGATTACAGGCGTGGGCCACTGTTTTAAAAAAAATTAGCCAGCCGGGCGCAGTGGCTCAAGCCTGTAATCCCAGCACTTTGGGAGGCCGAGACGGGCGGATCGCGAGGTCAGGAGATCGAGACCATCCTGGCTAACACGGTGAAACCCCGTCTCTACTAAAAAATACAAAAAACTAGCTGGGCGTGGTGGCGGGCGCCTGTAGTCCCAGCTACTCGGGAGGCTGAGGCAGGAGAATGGCGTGAACCCAGGAGGCGGAGATTGCAGTGAGCTGAGATTGCGCCATGGCACTCTAGCCTGGGCGACAGAGCAAGACTCTGTCTCAAAAATAAAAAAAAAATAGCCAGGCTTAGTGGCATACACCAACTATTGTCCCAACTATTCAGGAGGCTGAGGTGGGAGGAGAGCTTCAGCTATGATTGCACCACTGCACTCCAGCCTGGGCAACAGAGCAAGACCCTGTCTCTTAAAAATAAAAAAAAAAAAGATTTTTTTTTTCCCAGAAACGGAATTATTGATTATTTTACTGAGCAGTGACTGTTGTCTGTAGATGATTACCTACATATGTGATGGAGGGGAAAGGGAAGGATTTGTGATGGCAAAAATCAGCCTACTTTTGGATTCTGAATAAATAGTGGTGCTGTTTTTGACACAGTAAATGAAGGAGGAGGTGGGTGCTTAGTAAGTAGTCAGGCATTTGGCTTGGGCATGGTGAGTTTGAGGTGCTTAAGATGGAAATATGGGTATGATTCTTAGGAGAGAGATCATACCAGGAGATGTCAGTATGGCGGTTAATGGTATATATATCAAATATGAATCCATTGGAATAAGTACAATCATCGAGGGACACCGTGTAATGTGAGAAGAGCAGGTGAAAGAGATTAGAACACTAAGGGGCACCAACATTTAAAGGTCATTTGAGGAAAAAGGAGCTAGGGAAGGAGACTGAATTCCATCCCTTCTGTAGAATGAGTGCTGGGAGTGTGGGAAAAAAGTGTGGATGATTCACAAGGCTGTTACTCCACCTGGAAGTTAATCTTCTTTTGGTCCCACTTAGAATATAGTACGAGTGTTATCTTGACATTGCTAGTTACATTTTTGTCTTATCTTCAATGAGAAGTGTTTATTTGCCACTGACCATAACAGTGCTTTTGAGAAAATTCTAGCAGTACCATGGAATGTCTTTCCTTGGTGGCTTTGCATTTGGAAACAAACCCAGAAGCAGTGCAGCATGGGCCAGGAGTGTATACTCATCCCCTGAGGACTGATCATTTGTTTTTATTTTAGAAGATAAATCCTGGCCGGGCACAGTGGCTCATGCCTGTAATCACAACACTTTGGGAGGCTGAGGTGGGCGGATCATCTAAGATTAGGAGTTCAAGACCAGCCTGGCCAACATGGTGAAACCCTGTCTCTACTAAAAATACAAAAATTAGCCGGGCCTGGTGGTGGGCGCCTGTAATCCCAGCTACCCAGGAGGCTGAGGCAAGAGGTTGCAGTGAGCCAAAATTGCACCATTGCACTCCAGCCTGGGCGATAAGAGCGAGATTCCGTCTCAAAAAAAAAAAAAGATAAATCCTAGCTGGGCATAGTGGCACATTCCTGTAGTCCTAGCTACTTGGGAGGCTGAGGCGGGAGGATCCCCTGAGCCCAGGAGTTTGAGGCTGCAGTGAGCTGTAATTACACATCACACTCCAGCCTGGGTGACAGAGTCAGACTCTGTCTCAAAAAGAAAAAATCCTTGGGGCAGTGTGATTGTTACAGCATTTGATACTTGAATATTTTTGTATGTCCAAAATTTAATTTAATGAATTATTTATTTTTGAGAGGGAGTCTTGCACTGTTGCCTGGGCTGGAGTGCAGTGGCACGATCTTGGCTTGCTGCAGCCTCCGCCTCGTGGGTTCAAGCGATTCTCCTGCCTCAGCCTTCCGAGTAGCTGGGATTATAGGCACCCACTACCACGCCCAGTTAATTTTTTGTATTTTCAATAGAGACAGCGTTTCACCATGTTGCCCTGGCTGGTCTAGAACTCCTGACCTCGTGATTCGCCCACCTTGGTCTCCCAAAGTGTTGGGATTACAAGCATGAGCCACCATGCCTGGCCTATGTTTTTTAATTTAAAAAAATTATTATACATCGCAGCAGCAGAAGGAAACTTCAGGAATATTTTTAATGTCAAATTCTTTCCTATTCTCCTGAGGGATAGAAACTTATTTATGGAATTTTGAGAATTGTATTTATTTATTTATTTATTTTTGAGACAGAGTCTCACACTGTTGCCCAGGCTGGAGTGCAGTGACGCGATCTTGGCTCACTGCAACCTCCACCTCCCAGGTTCAAGCAATTCTAGTGCTTCAGCCTCCTTAGTAGCTGGGACTACAGGAGCGTGCCACTATGCCCAGCTACTTTTTGTATTTTTAGTAGAGACGGGGTTTCACCATGCTGGCCAAGCTAGTCTTGAACTCCCAACCTAAGGTGACCAGCCAGCCTCAGCCTGCCAAAGTGCTGAGATTACAGGCATGAGTCACAGTACCCGGCCATGTCTGTTTTTCTTTTGGTGAAGAAGAAGGACATATGGTCTCAAAAAACTTGAGTAACTACAGGGCACATTCAGATGGAAAAGAGTTATGACAGTGTTCTTCAGGGCTGTGGAAGGACATAGAAGTTGGTCATTTTCATATCATATGTAACTTTTTTTTTTTTTTTTTTTTTTGAGACAGAGTCTCGCTCTGTCGCCCAGGCTGAAGTGCAGTGGCATGATTTCGGCTCACTGCAACCTCCACATCCCGGATTCAAGCGATTCTCCTGCCTTAGCCTCCTGAGTAGCTGGGAGTACAGGTGCCCACCGCCACACCCGACTAATTTTTGTATTTTTAGTAGAGACGTGGTTTCACCATGTTGGCCAGGATGGTCTCGATCTCCTGACCTTGTGATCTACCCACCTTGGCCTCCCGAAGTGCTGGGATTACAGGCGTGAGCTGCCGCACCTGGCCTGACATTTTCTTTTTATTATTCTGTTGAATAATTTGTAATCTGATGTATGATACTCTTTTAGGAAAACATAGATGCATCATTTGGCTTTTCAAGCCCTATGCCCAGCCTGGGCAACATAGTGGGACCTCATCTCTACCCAAAAAAAAACAAAATAGCTGGGCATGGTGGCGTGCACCTGTGGTCACAGCTACTTGGGAGGCTGAGATGGGAGGATTGCTTGAGCCCGGAAGTTCGAGGCTGCAGTGAGTTATGATCCTACCACTGCACTCCTACCTGAGCGACAGAACGTGACCCAGTCTCAAAAACAAACAAACAAACACAACCCTATTGCTCCTCTCAGGGCAATATTTTGTACTGGCTCCTATTGAAGTTCATAATGATTCTATAGGAGAGATGGGAAGAAGTCCCTGGGCTTTCTGGTTTGCCTAAAATTGGTTGATTTCCTTGTATAGAGCAGATAGATTTTTCATCTCTGGCAAAATGTTGTCACTGTGTATCCCTTTTCCTCTTGGATTTGATCTTAGAGTCACTTCTAAAATAGTTTCTACTTTAACTTTTTGGGAATTTGACTGTGGCATCATTTAAGAACTGTTTTCAAGAACACTAGAGACCCACCCAGACATGAGTTGTGTTGATTACTTTATATGTGACCATTTTCACTGTTCCAGTTCTCTTATTCTTGATTGTAGGTGAGATTGCCATGCTTGGTGGTGTGGGAGAAGAGAATGAGAAACTGTGGAGCTTTACCAAAAAGGCCTCGCACATTCAGTTGGACAGGTAAAAGAGTTGTGCCATTTGGACTTACTTTTAAGCATTTGAACTATGTCTGCTTTTTTCCTCCCTCTGTTCAAGATTCTGATTAAGGGAAATAGAGAATATATATTTCAAGGTTTTCAGGCTGGGCATGGTGGTTTACACCTGTAATCCCAGCATGTTGGGAGGCCAAGGCAGGCAGATCACTTGAGGCCAGGAGTTTGAGACCAGCCTGGCCAACTTGTTGAAACCCCGTCTCTACTGAAAATATAAAAATTAGGCGGGCATAGTGGCGCATGCCTGTAATCCAGCTACTTGGGGAGGCTGAGACAGGAGAATTGCTTGAACCCTGGAGGCAGATGTTGCAGTGAGCCAAGATTGTACCACTACACTCCATCCTGGGCAACAGAGCAAGACTCCATCTCAAAATAAATATAAAATAAAATAAAAAATTATCCGGGTGTGGTGGCGTGCGCCTGTAGTCCCAGCTACTCAGGAGGCTGAGGCAGGAGAATCACTTGAATCGGGGAGGTGGAGGTTGCAGTGAGCTTATTTCGCACCACAGTGCTCCAGCCTAGGGTGGGGGACAGAGTGAGACTCTGAGGGGAAAAAAAAAAAGCGTTTCACTGCCCATTACCACTGTTACTAATGAAATAGTTGTGATTGTAATCCTTGGTATAGTATTACTACAGATTTTTTCAATCCAATGTGTAAAAGAATTGTTAAATTTTAGAAATTCTCAATGTATTGTTGAAACGGAGTCATAGTCCAGTAAACCAGATCGTTTGGCATAAAATGGACAGTTATGATCCTACCAATTTTCTGTCTTGCTTATATTTATTTGAAAAGAGAATCTTTGTGTAACATCTTGCAAATCCCCTACTGCCATAAGAATTACTTACTGGGGGCTTCAGGATCTTTCAAGCTTGTGACTACTCTAAAATATATATATATATTTTTTTTTTACTTTTTAAAACAGTTTTATTAAGATATAAATTCATAGACCATACAATTCACCCATTTGACATATGCAATTCAGTGGTTTTTATTATATTCATGGAATTGTGTAACCACCACTACAATCAATTTTTTTTTATTTCTTGTGTTTTTTAACTGTCAGTTAGAGGTCTCATAACACATGAGCTTTGTTTCCTCAGCTTACCAGAAGTACCTTTACTGGTTGATGTGCCTTGTTTATCTGCTCAGTTGGATGACTCAATTCTTAACATAGTGAAAGACCACATTTTTAAGCATGGAACAGTAGCATCTCGCCCACCAGTACAGATAGAAGAACTAATAGAGAAACCTGGAGGCATCATTGTACGATGGTGTAAGGTATGTAATTCAGAATTCTAGAAATAACTTCTACATTATGGGTTTGAGATTTGAGGGCCTTTCAGGTTTTTTCATTGACTACTTTTAAATACATTCTTTTCTTCCCAAACAAAAATCTCTTTTACTTTACAGTAAAATGAAGTCACAGGGAACACTGAGGTAGTTCTTCCAGTTTTATTTTTATTTATTTATTTTTTTGAGACAGAGTTTCGCTCTTTTGCCCAGGCTGGAGTGAAGTGGCGTGATCTCGGCTGATTGCAACCTCCATGCCCTTCCCCGCCTGCTGCTTCCCCCAGGTTTAAGCCATTCTCCTGCTTCAGCCTCCTGAATAGCTGGGATTATAGGCCCCTGCCACCACACCTGGCTAATTTTTGTATTTTTTGTAGAGATGAGGTTTCACCATGTTGGCCAGGCTGGTCTTGAACTCCTGACCTCAGGTGATCCACTCGCCTCGGCCACCCAAAGTGCTGGGATTGTAGATGTGAGCCACCATGCCTGGCCTTTTTTACTGAAATGAAGCCTTGCTCTGTTGCCCATGCTGGAGTGCAGCGATGCAACCTTGGCTCACTGCAACCTCCACACCATTCCCTCTCCCCACCCCCCCAGGTTCAGTAGCTGGGACTACCGGCACTACACCCAGCTAATTTTCTGTGGTTTTTTTTTTTTTTTTTTTTTTTTTTTTTTTTTTTTCTCTTGTGGCCCAGGCTGGAGTGCAGTGGCCGGATCTCAGCTCACTGCAAGCTCCGCCTCCCAGGTATGCCATTCTCCTGCCTCAGCCTCCCGAGTAACTGGGACTACAGGTGCACGCCACCTCGCCTGGCTAGGTTTTTGTGTTTTTTAGTAGAGATGGGGTTTCACCATGTTAGCCAGGATGGTCTCGATCTCCTGACCTCGTGATCTGCCCGTCTCGGCCTCCCAAAGTGCTGGGATTACAGGCTTGAGCCACCACGCCCGGCCTAATTTTTTGTATTTTTAATCGAGACATGGTTTTGCCATGTTGGCCTCGAACTCCTTAAATCTCAAGTGATCCACCCACCTTGGCCTCCCAAAGTGCTGGGATTACAGGCATGAGCCACTGTGCTTGGCTGACATTTTCTTTTTCTTTCTTTTTTTTTTTTTGAGACGGAGTTTCGTTCTTGTTGCTCAGGCTGGAGTGCAATGGCATGATCTTGGCTCATCACAACCTCCACCTCCCGGGTTCAAGCGATCCTCCTGCCTCAGCCTCCTGAGTAGCTGGGATTAAGGCATGTGCCACCACGCCTGATTTTTGTATTTTTAGTAGAGATGGGGTTCCTCCGTGTTGGTCAGACTGGTCTCAAACTCTTGACCTCAGGTGATCCACCTGCCTTGGTCTCCCAAAGTGCTGGGATTACAAGTGTGAGCCCCCATGCCCAGCCAGATTTTCTTAAAAGGAATTTTTTTTTTTTTTTTTGTAAACATGCTGTTATTTCATAACAGGACTCTTTTTCCATTTTTATTAATTTTCCTATCAGTGGACCTAGTTATTTCCAGGTTTTTGCTATAAGTATTTTTACTTGTGTTTCCTTATGAACATATGTGAAGTTTGTAAAATATTAATATTTACCTAGCTGTAAAATTATGAGGTCTTCTTAGAGTATTGGATCCATACACTAAGAGGTAATAACAAACTTTCCACAAGATGATTGTATCAATTTAGCCTTCCAAACAGTATATGAGTTTCTGTTATTCCATATCTTGACCAGTAATTGGCATTGTGAGACTTTATATTTTTGCCTAAATGTACCTTGTTGTGGTTTTATTTATTTGTTTGTTTTTGAGACAGGGTCTTATTCTGTCACCCAGGCTGGAGTACAGCGGCACAATCATGTCTCACTCCAGTCTCAACCTCCTGGGCTCAAGTGATCCTCCTGCCTCAGTCCTCAAGTAACTGGGACTTCAGGCATGTGCTTCCATACCCAGCTAAGTTTTGTAATTTTTTGTAGAGATGGAGTTTTGCCATGTTGCCCAGGCTGGCCTCAAATTCCTGGGCTCGAGTGCTCCATCCGCTTCGGCCTCCCAAAGTCTTAGGATTATAGGCATGAGCCACCATGTCTGGCCTTGTTGTGGTTTTAGATTGTATTTGCCATATTACAAATTAGATTGAATATTTATAATATATATTTTTGGCTATTTATATTTCTTCTCCTGTAGAATACTTATTTATGTCTTTTACCCACTTTTCTATTGGTGGCTAATTAACATACAGAATATATGCAGGACCCCTAAAAATCAATGGGGATTCTGTATACTGTATGTTAATTATGTCTTGGTTATTATGAATGATGTATGGTTTTGGGAACCTTATCATTGAATCTTTAATGTTTTGTCTTTGGCATTGATTAAAAAACATGCCATTTCTTCAAAGGAGGCAGACTTTTTTATATCAGGCTGGGAAATGTAGAACACATGGTTCAATAAAGAAAAGAAGGGTGCTCAGGCGCAGTGACTCACGCCTGTAATCCTAGCACTTTGAGAGGCTGAGACGGGAAGATTGCTTAAGCTCAGGAATTCAAGATCTGAGATATGGTGAAAACCCATCTCTACAAAAAATACAAAAAATTAGCCGGACATGGTGGTGTGCACCGGAAGTCCCAGCCAGCTACTTAGGGGGGTTGAAGGAGGAGGATGGCTTGAACCCAGGGTATGGAGGCTGCAATAAGCCGAGATCATGCCACTGCACTCCAGCCTGGGTGACCAAGTGAGACCCTGCCTCAAAAAAAAAAAAAGAAGAGCGATAATGATGTGATGGCATATTTTCTATGGCCTTCCCAAGAATACCCCATATTCAGCACGTGGGCCTGGCTGCTTGGTCCAAAATGACTCCATTCAAAGTTTTTAAGCAGTGATGGCTGAGAGAAGTCATTTTCTGTTTCTCAGCTAACATAAAGCTTTTCTCCTTAGGTGGATGACGACTTTACAGCCCAAGATTACAGGCTCCAGTTTCGTAAATGTACTTCAAATCATTTTGAGGATGTATATGTAGGTTCTGAAACTGAATTCATAGTATTGCACATAGACCCCAACGTTGATTATCAGTTCAGAGTCTGTGCCCGAGGAGATGGCCGACAGGAGTGGAGTCCTTGGAGTGTTCCCCAAATAGGTCATTCCACATTGGTGCCTCATGGTATGCTGCTAACCTTTTCTCTCCTGAAGCCTAACTGTATATTAGAATACCTGCATTCTGTGCTAAGGGCAGCACACTGACAACCAGCTATTCTAAGCATAGATCCTGAATTGATAAGAACAACATGCACCTTGTATTTTACTCAGATTACCTCATGTGATTTTTGTTTTCATCAGTTCTTCAGAGACCAAAAAAAAAATGCTGGACTAGATTTTTAGCCTCACTGAAAACCAAAGATTGAAAATATTGTGTAGGACACTGATACTCCTTTTTATTCGTCTTCTTTTTTTTTATATTTTACTTTTATTTAGTTAGTTTTTTTTGAGACAAGGTCTCACCTCTGTCGCCCAGGCTGGCGTGTGGTGGTGCAGTCATGCAGCCTGACCTCTGGATCCTTCTGCCTCAGCCTCCCAAGTAGCCAGGACCACCTGCATGCACCACCACACCTGGCTAATTTTTTTTTTTTTTTTTTTGTAGAGACCAGGTCTTGCTATGTTGCCCAGGCTGGTCTCAAATTCCTGGACTCAAGCAGTCCTCTTGCCGTGGCCTCCCAAAGTCCTGGGATTATAGGCGTGAGCCACTGTGCCCAGCTGATGCTGATTTTCCAAACCCTCAAGAAATACCTGGAGAGAGACATTTTCTTAAAAGTCTGATTTCAGGGCCAGGCGTGGTGGCTCATGCCTGTAATCCCAGCACTTTGGGAGGCCAAGGCAGGCGGATCACAAGATCAGGAGATCGAGACCATCCTGGCTAACACGGTGAAACCCCGTCTCTACTAAAAACACAAAAAGTTAGACAGGCATGGTGGCGGGCGCCTGTAATCCCAGCTACTGGGGAGGCTGAAGCAGGAGAATGACTGAACTTGGGAGATGGAGCTTGCAGTGAGCCGAGATCGCGCCACTGCACTCCAGCCTGGGTGACAGAGCGAGACTCAAAAAAAAGTCTTATGATTTGAAATTGATCTCTCTCCTGCATTCTTGTTTAGAAGATGTAGACTCATTTATTAATTAGATTTTTATCAGGTTGGAATAAGTGCAAGCAATTATGCTTGAACTATGATTTTATTAGATAAGAGATAACACTTATTTGATTTATTATGTCAAAATTATGCAGGCATATACTAAAATCTTTTTTGTAATTTGTGGGACTGATCATGATACCCTGTTAATAGAATCTTTCATTTTATTGAACTTGACCATGGCCCCTAAGAGTAGTCTCCCATTTCCACGTTTTATTTAACATGTCTGTATTGAAGATATCCCTCAAGAGATTCTAACAGTTTTCAATATCTTTGCTTTTAAAAAGAGTGGACAGCTGGTTTTGAGGGGTACAGTCTGAGCAGTCGAAGAAATATAGCACTCCGGAATGATTCTGAATCATCAGGTGTTCTCTACTCCAGAGCTCCGACTTACTTCTGTGGACAGACATTAACATTCAGGCAAGTAGATATTAAAACATCTTACCTGCCTCAGGAAGCAGAGTGAAGTGCTCAGAGCATACATGAGCTTTGAATTCAGAACATCCTGAATTTATTCCATCATTTATAGGCAGTGTTACTGTGGGAAGGCTTCTTTATATCCTGCAGCTGTAGTTTTCTCATCTGTATTCATAGGGTTATTACATAGATTAACTGGGAAATGTATATAAAATGCTTGATATTTAATATGTTTATATCTGTCTTCTTCTTGGTAAGTAGAGGTAAGTAGAATATCTCTCAAAAGTCAATCTTAGGCTGGGCACGGTGGCTCACACCTGTAATCCCAGCATTTTGGGAGGCCGAGGCGGGTGGATTACCTGAGGCTGAGATTTCGAGACCAGCCTGATCAACATGGAGAAACTCCGTCTCTACTAAAAATACAAAATTAGTCGGGCATGGTGGCACGTATGCCTGTAATCCCAGCTACTCGGGAGGCTGAGGCAGGTGAATCACTTGAACCCAGGAGGCTGAGGTTGCAGTGAGCTGAGATCATGCCATTGCACTCCAGCCTGGGCAACAAGAATGAAACTCTGTCTCAAACACACGCACTCACACACACAATTAAAAAGTCAATCTTAAAAATTTAGAGGCCGCAGGCCGGGCGCGGTGGCTCAAGCCTGTAATCCCAGCACTTTGGGAGGCCGAGACGGGCGGATCACGAGGTCAGGAGATCGAGGGGGGATCACGAGGTCAGGAGATCGAGACCATCCTGGCTAACACAGTGAAACCCCGTCTCTACTAAAAATACAAAAATAACTTAGCCGGGCGAGGTGGCAGGCGCCTGTAGTCCCAGCTACTCGGGAGGCTGAGGCAGGAGAATGGCGTGAACCCGGGAGGCGGAGCTTGCAGTGAGCTGAGATCCGGCCACTGCACTCCAGCCTGGGTGACAGAGCGAGACTCCGTCTTGAAATTAGAGGCCGCAGGCCGGGCGCGGTGGCTCATGCCTGTAATCCCAGCACTTTGGGAGGACGAGGCGGGCGGATCACCTGAGGGCAGGAGTTCGAGACCAGCCTGGTGAAACCCCATCTCTACTAAAAATACAAAACTAACTGGGTGTGGTGGTGCATGCTTGTAATCCCAGCTACTCAGGAGGCTGAGGCAGGAGAATTGCTTGAACCTGGGAGGCAGAAGTTACAGTGAGCTGAGATCGCGCCACTGTACTCCAGCCTGGGTGACAGTGAGACTCCATCTCAAAAAAAAAAAAAAAAAAAAGCACGGGCCGGGCACGGTGGCTCATGCCTGTAATCCCAGCACTTTGGGAGGACGAGGCGGGCAGATCACAAGGTCAGGAGATCGAGACCATCCTGGCCAACATAGTGAAACCCTGTCTCTACTAAAAATACTAAAAATTTAACTGGGTGTGGTGGCGGGCGCCTGTAGTCCCAACTACTTGGGAGGCTGAGGCAGGAGAGTCACTTGAAGTCGGGACGCGGAGGTTGCAGTGAGCAGAGATTGTGGCACTGCTCTCCAGCCTGGGTGACAGTGCAAGATTCCCTCTCAAAGAAAAAAGCAAAAAATTTACCAGCCAAGAATTTATTTTGTCCTTTGTGAGTCATTAACAGCAAGTCTTTGTAAGAGAGAATGCTGTAAACATATTATGTATATGCTACTCTGTAAAGTAAAACTGAAAGCAAGCCTCCCTTACCACTGATTAATGTTGTTTCTCTACCCATTTCTTTCTGTAATGGGAAAGTTTCTTTTTTCTTATTTTCATGTTATCTGAAATGTATTCTTTATAGTCACGTTTCTAAATAGCTCTTTGTGGAAACCATAGACCAGTTTTGACTTAGAGAAGTAAAGTTTGCCTGATTTTCACCATACTCACCTTAGTGTAACAAGCTCTTCTCTAAGTTTTAAGTCTTGAGATGGGATTTTATTGTGAATGCTTGACCCAAGTTCCTCTTGTTCTCAGGGCCTTATTATTTAAGGCATGGAGAATATCTGAATATTTTATTTAAGCCAATGTTGCTGTATTCCTCTCCAGCTAAGTAATTTGAATTGTCAGCAGTTGTCAGAATATACTAGTTTATGTTTTGTCTAATTTTTGACACCTCTTCTCACCCCTTAATGAAGAATGACTCAGTAACCAGAAAAATACCAACAGAGAGAGAGAAAAAAAAAAAGACGAATACCTAAAATGTATTTAATTATTCCCCAGGTAATCATGAGTTTTCTGTACCCCTTCTCTGCTTATGTCCCTTGTTTACAGAAGCACTTCCGTTAGTGACTCTCCTGAGAACAAGGTATTTCTGTGCAATGACAGAGCTTCCTACCTTGATAAATTCAGGCCAGATATCTCAGACTGCAATAATGATGATGATGATGATAATTGCAGTTAATGGCCAGGCGCGGTGGCTCACGCCTGTAATCCCAGCACTTTGGGAGGCTGAGGCGGGCAGATCACAAGGTCAGGAGATCGAGACCATCCTGGCTAACATGGTGAAACCCCTTCTCTACTAAAAATACAAAAATAAATTAGCCGGGCATGGTGGCAGGCACCTGTAGTCCCAGCTACTTGGGAGGCTGAGGCAGGAGAATGGCGTGAACCTGGGAGGCAGAGCTTGCAGTGAGCCAAGATCACACCACTGCACTCCAGCCTGGGCAACAGAGCGAGACTCTGTCTTGAAAAAAATAATAATAATAATTGCAGTTAATATTTAAACAATATTTACTGTGTGTCATGTACTGTCTTAAGTATTTTACTTGTATTAACTCATTTGATTTTCATAGTAACCCAGTGAGATAGACGTATTTATTTTAGGGATGAGGAAACTGAGGCACAGAGAAGTTATTTACCCAGTGTCACACAGCTAGTAAATGCCAAAACTAGGGTTTAAATCGAAGCAGTTCAACTCCAGACTGGTCTGTATTGCTTCTTTTTCATCTTTTTCATGGGAGAGTTAATATGATTCTAGTTGGTATTGAAGTCTACAATTTCTCCATTACTGTGTCCTTAGCTCTTTAACTTTTACCTCTGATGACCTTTTACCCCTTGATCTGATGCTCTCCTGCTTTTTAAATTCTTCCTCCTTGGACACATGGTAATGTCTGATAGATTGCATAGTTAGGTTTATTTCTTAGGTCATTCAGTAAATATTTATTAAGACATTGGAACTTATACAAATTGATTTAAATTCACCTCTGCTGACCATGCTGTGAAAGACACAGTAGGTCTCAATAAACTGTTAGTGTGTCTGGCCTCTCCTAAAGATGCATCACCAGGCCCCACTTGGCAGGGTGATTAACCAAAATTCAGTTAAACTCAATATGATCGTAGCTAGCCTTTTGCATTTTTGTCATTTTTTTCTTTTGACTGTGGAATGAAATGTTTTCTCCCCTTGTTTAAAGGAATTTCAGGCATCAGCAATGAAGCCAGAGATGTGAATGCGAAGGGAGTCCATGCATAAGGGAGGAGCAAGTGGGTGTACTTGAATCAAGAGAAATAGTATTTAGTTTTTTGAGGGTGCTTAGGGCCTAGTAATTAGAAGGGAGCTTATACTCTTGAAGGCACTACTTTGTTATTTATCCCAGTCGGTCCCTGCTGAAGTTGCTGGAAGGCTTAGAGCTGCTGAAGCCAGAGAAACCTGTGATACTGGCTGGACTGTAACAGTCTCTAGACCCACTCTCATTAGATGCCCAGGTCTGCTAGCAACCCCCTCCTTCCAGATCTCCCTGACTTCCTATGTAAACATTCCTGCTCTTTCCTTCTAAGATTTTCTGATTTTTTTTTAAAGGTTTATTTTCTTTCTTTCTTTCTGTTTTTTTTGAGACAGAATCTCGTTCTGTTGCCCAGGCTGGAATGCAATGGCACGATTTCGGCTCACTGCAACCTCCACCTCTCAGGTTCAAGCGACCCTCTCACCTCAGCCTCCTGAGTAGCTGGGACTACAGGTGCCTGCCACCACACCCGTGTAATTTTTTGTATTTTTATAGAGACGGAGTTTCACCGTGTTACCCAGGATGGTCTCAATCTCCTGACCTCATGATCCGCCCTTCTTGGCCTCCCAAAGTGCTGGGATTACAGGCGTGAGCCACTGCGCCGGACCTATTTTCTTTCTCATTGCCCTCCCCAGTTCTCCCCTTCTTTTTAAGACAAGGCCTTGCTGTGTCGCCCAGGTTGAAGTGCAGTGGTGCAATCTCAGCTCACTGCAACCTCCACCTCACAGGTTCAAGCGACCCTCTCACCTCAGCTTCCTGAGCAGCTGGGACTACAGTAGCCACTACCACACCCAGCTAATTTTTGTATTTTTTGTAGATACGAGGTTTCACCATGTTGCTTAGGGTGGTCTCAAACCCCTGAGCTCAAGTGATCTGCTCACCACAGCTTCCCACAGTGCTGGGATTACAGGCGTGAGCCACTGCACCTGGCCCTGATTTTTTTTTTTTGGAAGACAGACTCTCCCTCTGACGCCCAGGCTGGAGTGCAGTGGCACAATCTTGACTCACTGCAACTTCCACCTCTCAGGTTCAAGCGATTCTCCTACCTCAGCCTCCCAAGTAGCTGGGATTACAGGCGTGTGCCACCATGCCCAGCTAATTTTTTTGTTGTTGTTAGTAGAGATGGGGTTTCACCATATTGGCCAGACTGGTGTCGAACTCCTGACCTCAAGTAATCTGCCCACCTCGGCCTCCCAAAGTACTGGAATTACAGGTATGAGGCACTGCGCCCAGCCGATCTTATTTTTTAACCATATTTTTACTTTCTCTTTACCACTGCTTTTCTCTAAAAAAGAGAGAAAGCTACAAAAATTAGCTGGGTTTGGTGCTCTGCACCTATAATCCCAGCTGTTCAGGAGACCGAGGCAGAAATGGACTGAACCTGAAAGGTAGAGGTTGCAGTGAGCAGAAATCGCGCCACTGCACCTCAGCCTGGGCAACAGAGCAAGACTTCATCTGAAAAAAAAAAGAGAGAGAGAGAAAGCCTGCTGTTACAAGTGGCATGCACCTGTAGTCCCAGCTAC